GAAGAAGCCGATAGGTATCGGCAGTCCAAGCAGATTGCTGCTCGGGTGGTCGCTGAGGCAAAAACTCGGAGGTGGGAGGAGTTCGGAGAGGCCATGGAAAAAAAATTCTGTACGGCTTTGAGATGATTCGGTTCCACCAACCAGTGTCTCGGGGGGGAAAGCAGTTCGCCACCAACACTATTTATGATTGGGATGGTGCGCTTCTGACCTCAATTCAGGACGTTGTGGGTCGGTAGGTGGAATACTTCGAAGACCTCCTCAATCCTACTGACACATCTTCCCATGAGGAAGCAGAGCCTGAGGACCCTGGGTCGGACTCTCCAATCTCTGGTGCTGAGGTCACTGAGGTGTTTAAAAAGCTCCTCCGTGGCAGGGTGCTGGGGGTGGATGAGATTCGCCTGGAGTTCCTTAGGCTCTGGATGTTGTGGGGTTGTGTTAGCTGACGCGACTCTACAATATCGCGCGGACATCGGGGGCAGTTCCTCTGGATTGGCAGACCAGGGTGGTGGTCCCCCTATTTAAAAAGGGGGACCACAGAATGTGTTCCAACTATAGGGGATCACACTTCTGAGCCCCCTTCTGCGGTCCCCCCTTTTAAATAGGGGGACCACCACCCCGGTCTGCCAATCCAGGGGAACTGCCCCAGATGTCCACGCAACTCACACTTCTGAGCCTCCCTGGTAAGGTCTATTCAGGGGTTCTGGAGAGGAGGGTCCGTCAGATAGTCGAATCTCAGATTCAGGATAAGCAGTGTGGTTTTCGTCCTGGTCGTGGAACATCGGACCAGCTCTACACCCTTAGCAGGGTCCTGGAGGGTGCATGGGAGTTCTCCCAACCATGTGTTTTGTGGACTTGGAGAAGGCGTACAACTGTGTCCCTCAGGGATCCCTGTGGGGGTACTTGGGGAGTATGGGGTACCAGGCCCATTGATAAGGGCAGTTAGGTCCCTGTACGACCAGTGCCAAAGCTTGCTCCGCATTGCCGGTAGTAAGTCTGACTTGTTTCCGGTGAGAGTTGGACTCCACCAAGGTTGGCCTTTGTCACCGATTCTGTTCATAACTTTTATGGACAGAATTTCTAGGCGCAGCCGAGGTGTTGATGGGATCATTTTTGGTGACCTTAGGATCACATCTCTGCGTATTGCGGATGATGTGGTCCTATTGGCTTCATCAGATTGTGATCTCCAGCTCTCACTAGAGCGGTTCGCAGCCGAGTGTGAAGCGGCCGGGGTGAGGATCAGTGCCTCCAAATCCGTGACCATGGTCTTGAGCTGGAAAACGGTAGCGTGCCGCCTTCGGGTCGGGGAGAAGATCCTGCCCCAAGTGGGGGAGTTTAAGTACTGTATCTCGGGGTCTTGTTCATGAATGAGGGAAGAATGGAGCGGGAGATCGACAGGTGGATTGGTGCTGCGTCTGCAGTGATGCGGGCGCTGCACCAGTCTGTTGTGCTGAAGCGAGAGCTGAGCCAGAAGGTGAAGCTCTCAATTTATTAGTTGGTCCACGTTCCTACCCTCATCTATGGTCACAAACTTTGGGTAGTGACCGCAAGAATAAGATCTCTAATACAAGCAGGTGAAATGAGTTTCCTCCGCAGGGTGTCTGGGCTCTCCCTTAGAGATAGGGTGAGAAGGTCATTCATCCAGGAGTGATTCAGAGTAGAGCTGCTGCTCCTCCACATCGAGAGGAGCCAGTTGAGGTGGCTRGGGCATCTGGTTAGGATGCCTCCTGGATGCCTCCCTGGTGATGTGTTCCGGGCACGTCCCACTGGGAGGAGACCCAGAGGAAGACCCAGGACACACTGGACGGACTGTGTTTCTCAGCTGGCCTGGGAACACCTTGGGATTCCCACGGATGAGCTGGCCCAAGTGGCTGGGGAGAGGGAAGTCTGGGTCTCTCTGCTTAGGCTGCTGCCCCCGCGACCCAACTCCGGATAAGCAGCAGAAAACGGAAGGACAGAKGGACAGAAGAGAAGAGGTTTTATACCAAATTCAATTTAGACACAAATGTGCTTCAATGAAACTCAAAGTGATTAAAAAGTTTGTTCCAGTTGCCTAAATTAATAACTTTACAATTATTAAACCTTTGTGCTACGATGATAACTTGCTTTGAAAAAAAAAGTCCCATTATTTTTAATACGTTTGCTCTCTTGATTACTGGAATTTATTATTAAAAAGCAAAACAACAAAGAGCGTTTTTAGTGATTTTTTACTATATAAAGTGTCACACAGTTTCCTAATGAGAACATACAAATGAATTAATCCTTTCTGTAGGATCTGTTCAACCCTGTTTTAAACACCAATGTGTGGCTGCTGGGTTCCGGGGGGTGGGCGGCTGGGGTGGTGCACTTGGTCGCTGGCAGTGTGGTGGGGTTGTCATGGNTGTCTGGGCTCTCCCTTAGAGATAGGCTGAGAAGCTCAGTCATCCGGGAGGGACTCAGAGTAGAGCCGCTGCTCCTCCACATCGAGAGGAGCCAGTTGAGGTGGTTCATCTGGTTAGGATGCCTCCTGGACATCTCCCTGTTGAGGTGTTCTGGGCACGTCCCTCTGGGAGGAGGCCCAGAGGAAGACCCAGGACACGCTGGAATAACTGTTTCTCGGCTGGCCTGGGAACGCCTTGGGATTCCCCCAGATGAGCTGGCCCAAGTAGCTGGGGAGAGGGAAGTCTGGGGCTCTTTGCTTAGGCTGCTGCCCCCACGACCCTATCCCGGACAAGCAGAAGAAAATGGATGGACGGTCGGAATTAAAAGATGTCAACAAGGGACCTGACTATCCAGCCTTACATTTTGGAGCCAGAGTCTGAGCRAGAGTCTGAGGAAAATGAAGTCCATCAAACTGTAGTTGTAAGTCATGACCCTATATGGCAGTTCYTTTGCCAGTAATTTTATATAACAGATCAGAAACCATCATAGAAAATAGAGAAAACTGAACAGGATATGTCTARATTAACTCATTTCAGGGCCATTTGAGATATATTTCAATGATTCAGTGCCAGTGTTGTATAAAGTACTTCAAAGTGATACTTGAGTAAAAGTACAAGTATTTTATCATAAAAATACTTTGGTAAATGTTAAAGTCTTCTCTAAAAATATTGCTTGAGTAAAAGTCTTAAAGTATCTGATATTTTTGTACTTAAGTATCAAAAGTAAATTTCTGACACAAAATCTACTTAAGTATTAAAAGTAAAAGTACGGTTGTATACAAACTAATAGGGTGTCAGAATGGTATTTACACTTCTCATCCAACCACAATGAATTCACTCTATCCTGGAGACATAATATATCAGGATAGTATTTTTTTTAAGTAATAACAACTTGGAATAAAAAAGGGGTAACAACTTTCTACTTCTTACCTTTTTTTAAAAAAATGTAGTGAGTAGAAAGTACAGATAATTGTGTAAAAATGTAACGAGTAAAAGTAAAAAGTAGGCTGAAAAATAATTAAGTAAAGTACAGATAACCAAAATTTCTACTTAAGTACAGTAACAAAGTATTTGTACTTAGTTACATTACAACTCTGTTCAGTGCCCGACTCTGATTAAGCTTAACTACCTAACTCTCTGTCAGATAAAGACTGAAGATTTTAATCCAACATTAAAAGGGGCAATATCGTGTTTCCCAGGCATATATTAAAATTCTATACCATAACGTGGTGAGGCGTAATGAACAGTTTTCACCGGGTGTTTGCTAGTTGTTGCTGCTGATAGCCTGCAGGAGTCACAGGGCGGGCTGGGGGTTGAGTGGGTGTGTTCTTTGATGAGGAAGCTCAGCTTGTAGACACAGCCCAGAAGAGGAGCTGATCTCAAAAGAGGTTCTAGTCCCAACCAYTGGTTTTTGCTCTCCTGCCTGCTGCCCCAGGACACTGCAGGATTTCTCAAACATGCATGAATGAGTCAAAGTAAGACTCTGGACATGTTTTTGATGAGAAGATAACATTATAACATGATAAAAAACTCAAAAAAGTTGATTTTACATGATATTGCCCCTTTAAGTTCATTCCATCTCACACCTTTTCAAACAGAAGAGTGGTGGTAAGTTAATTATTTTGTTTAGATGATGTATGCACATGCTCTCTCTTGTCCAACTGGTTACTTAAAAAAACCTGTTTAGAATAAAAAAATAGTGTGACTTTGTGCTGCTCAGACAGTTCATATTATAGCAAACAGTGACCACAGCAGGTCCACAAACAATCAGAGCAAATGTTAAACGTGACTCAGCATCCTGTTATTTTATGATAATTATYATCCTGACACTATTGAAAGGCTCCTGACTAACAGTTCAGTAAAACTATCACCCAGATGTGAACTGAAACATCTTCAAGAGAGTTAAAGTCCCGCTGTTGTATTTTCTCTAGATTTTTGGTCGACTGAGAATCTACACCAGCATATTTCCAAGGTTTGACCACCATGACTATAACTCAGAACCTTACAGGTTTTTCTTGTTTTTTTGATGCAATAATAAGAAATATCCTGGTATTCAGGTGGTCTCACCCTCCTCCTGCTTCCAAGGACAAACTGCAGCACCTCCAGCACTRGGCTGCCTGCGGGTCACCGGCTGCCAGCTGCTCCCCGTCAACGAGCTGCTCCACACTGAGGGGGAAGAAAAAGGGCAGGAAGGATCYCCTCCTGCCAGGCTCACCCAGGTATCTTTCTGCTGCAAAGCCAAAAATAAATACAATTCACTTTAGATAAAAAGAGAGTGAACTGTAGCTTAACTGCTGGACCACCCTTCACTTCACTGGCCTTTCTCTGCAGAGCACTGAGACCCCATCAGCTCCTTAAACTTCTTTRAGTCCTGAGTCTACCTGAGACCTTTTCCTTTCATTTTGATCATGTTTCTTATTCAGCTTACAGCTGGTTGGAGCTGTGCTGTTACTATCATGATCCTGTTTCTCTTTATTRTTTATCTTTTTTTACATAACATAAAAATACTTCTGCATACTTTGTACTGTTTTAAACATTCGAATGTCAAAACTTTCAGCTCACTCTCATTTTTTAAAAGGGCCAGTATCATGTAAAATAAACGTTTTTTAGTTTTATATCATGTTATAATGTTATCCTCTCATCAAAAACATGCCCAGAGTCTTACTTTGACTCATTCATGKATGTTTGAGAAATCCTGCAGTGTCCTGAGGCAGCAYGCAGGAGAGCAAAAACCACCATTTGGGACTYGAACCTCCTTTTGGGATCAGCTCCTCCTCTGGACTGTGTCTACAAGCTGAGTTTCCTCATCACAGAGCWCACACACKCACTTGGCCCGTTCTGAAATGGGCGGGGCAGAAGTTGAAGGAGGTTCATTAAAGAGACAGAGGACAATTTCAAGGCGTTTAGAAACAGATATGATGAGAAGTCAAGTTTATTTTCTATTTAAACATAAAAACAACATTTTAATAACAACTGCAAGTGACATAGTCACTTTATTATGGTATAGAATTTAAATATATGCCTGACAAACACATAATATTGGCCCTTTAAC